AAATTACATCACTTGACAATAGTGATCTTCCATACCTTCGAGATAACTTATCCCCTCTAAAATTTTATCTTTATTCAATGTACTCATACTAAATCCTACCTGACTTACTTGAGGACTGCAATTAGTGCCCCTGAAAAGAAGAAAAGGAAAATATCTGTCGCTATTTTTAATTCATTTATCTCGCAAACTCGGCTGTACATGTACTTATTGGTGGATCTTCAATTGCCGCTGAGTAATTCAATTCTTATGCTCTCTGAAAAATACTAACAGAGTAGCTGCACTAGTGGTCTTCACGACTTTTTGTCTAGCATCTTTTTGTGGAGGTAATAAAAATTCGGAATTATTGGAATTTTCCTCTTCCTAAGTTACATTTTGTTTTGCTACGAATGCAAATGAACTAGTAGATTTCAGGGTGAAATGTAGTTCAAATTTGTAATCCGATGAAGCTTTTGTTGCGACAAATGATATCTCTTACCCTATTGGACTGTGACGTCCACTTGGACCTGTTTCTTCTCTAACTGGCCTTCCTTTCTCTGAATACAGATAAGAAGCATTCTATCAGGGAGAAAGAAAAGTTATCAAATACATATGTTGGTGTCGAGCCCTTGAAATACAGGTTTCTTTGAATACCTACCTCTCTATCTTTTTGCTCCATGAGTCTGAAACGAAAACGTTGGAATACTTATTTAATGAGCGAAAGTTGAATTGATGCCGGAGACTGTGTTAACAGAACTTTGTCGGTACCTTTGCTAAGTAGTACACATTTGATTCGTCCAATATAAATAACAGTATCATGGATTAAATTGGAGTGGTCGTCTTTGACATCACCTCTGCCGATAAATAAGTCTTTGTTCTTGGCTTTAAATTTGTGACGGCAAGCGAAATTTCGTTTCAAAACTCAGTAGGTTAATGTCTGAAACACGTCCTGCATACTACTAGGATCAACAATGTCGCAAGACTAAGAATTATGGTAAATTTCAGCTCGGTAATGAGAGGGAAGAAAGACGGAGAGAGAGGGTTCAGATTTCGAGTGTCAAAATTTAAGGACAAAATTTCCGGCCGTCCATATCACGGTTTTATGAATAATTCTACAAAGTCAAAGCTTTGTGAAATTTCGCTGTTTATCACTCTTTGCACATGCTTTACCACGCTGTGTTAACTCGTCGGCATGCTGTGCTGTCGAAGTAACATTGGAATCACGCATGGCGAAACACTGATCTGTCGAAATTATAATCTTAGCGCCTGGTGGATTATTGTTTCGAATAAAGCCTTCTTTAAAAGTTATGTTGTCTAATATAGTCTTTAGGGACAACAGTGACTCGTTTAAAATCGTAAAAGTTTTGAAAACCTGCTGAGAAGGCACTCTGGCTACCACAATTTTTAATTGACAGTACATGCATGTAGTATGTAGGAATGTGCTATTTATTGATTGTTTCTGGCAAAAAGCAAATGGCAAATCTTAGTTATCTTTCACAATGGAACTAATTGTAGGCGTCACACCCTAAGTGAAGTAATCTTGGTGTTATAGCCTAAGGAACATACCGAGTTACAAGTCTCTGTTACGTGTTTATGCAATAAAATTCTTATCGAGTACTACAACCCAAACATGTTTTTGCGACTCACCCTGTCAGTGCATATGGTCGCGCAAATTGTACTATTTTGAATTTGAACCACTCTGTGTGGACTAAAATTTGTTGCAGATACGTCCTTAAGTATAATCTTCTTTACATTATACTAATTTTTGATGCCTTGACTTGTTTCCACGACTTGTCGGACAGAATGGGCGTATAGTGTGTCCTTCGCCTTTTGTAATTGTTCGCGCACAGAAGCATTTCAGACTAATAAAGAGGACACAAGGACATCAATCACAAAACTTCCCAAATGCGATGATCTGTTATTAAATTTATTGATTACCTTTTTAAAGTATCCTGTACGGCACTTTCCTGTTACTTAGAATCTTTAACTCTTTTCGTCGGTATCTGCTCTTTCGATCACACCACATGTGCGCCAATTTCTAGATGCAGTGCTTATTAGTCATAATATTAGTCACATGCCACCACGTGACTCGCATACTTTACAATCCATTTATTACCCGAAGAACGATTGGCTTACAAGATTATGAAATAAGCTCCATCTAAACAATTGAAGTAGGATGTCAGTTGTCTAACGCTTCTCAAAGGCCTGTTGTTCGTCGCCGTTATGTGTTTTGATTCTATTGTTAGCTGTCCGTGGGAACTCTTTGATGGCTATTTGACCTGCCGTGTGGCGCTCTTGAAAGAAATTTTTCTTTAAGTGTTGACACAAGTCTTCAAAGATATTGTGTAAATGGAAAAAGATTTGTACAGTGTTAGACTAATTCTGTTTCCTTTTCTTCCCTTGGAAAAGATGTAGCAGTTAATCCACACCTAAGTTGTTGTGGTAGATATTTGGGAAGGCACCTTTCTGTGACATAAGCGGAATTTGCTATTGATTGAGGGACGTGATCCACTCTTAGTAAAGCTTGCAGATACTGTGTAGATACGAAAATTGTCATGTTTCCTGAACTTTGTCTTGGAATCCTTAACAGGGATGTTTAACACTCATCGTTGAAACACACTGACCAAGCTTGCTGCAATGGTGGAAAGAAACGCTGCACATGGCATAACAAAAATTCGCAATTCAAAAATGAAAAGTCGTAGGAACCAATATCCGCCTCGCATAAGCTGAGGCTTGATTTCTCCAAACGATTGAAATAGACAAATGTCTTCATATGATTCGTTAAACGTAGCACCTTACCTATTAACATCGCTTGGCTTCATTCGTAACATTGAATTTTGCATTTTAAATAAGTATTGCCATCGGAAGGCGCGGAAAGGCAACCTCATCCTACAGCGTATCTTTGCCAGCTCAGTCTACTGCTTTTACGACTTTTCTTTTCTTGGTGTAGAATTTTTTATGTCCAGATTTCCGTCTCTTGTTTCGTACGGAATAGCATAAATTGAATGTTGAAATACATACCGTTGTTTTTTTGCATGGGTGTTTGCCGCTGTCTCAAAATATTGCTGAAGCAAAAATATGGCGGCAAAAAGAGGTTTTCGAAGCGTACCTTTCCAGCGATAAATTTGAGGCTTATTCGGCCGGGTTATGTTGTTTGTGATGGGAAAGGGAATGCATGAATGTAACACTAAAAGATACGTTATGTATATGCCATGCAACTTATCTTCTTTCGTACATGTAACGACCGCGACGAACATCCTTTGTCTTGAAATGGTTGTTAAAAGAGAGAGTAATCGCGCCGCTAAATTGTGACTTTGAAAAGAGTGTTGCAGCTGTAGGTATGTTTTATAACGTTCAGTTTTGAGTTTTTCTCAGAAGGCTTAGGTTGAAGATTAAGCTTCGCTTCCCTTAATATTCGTCTCAAATACAGGTTTTTTGATATTCAATCAATAGCAAAATGCTAGGTCTACCAACGGGTTAATAAGGACAGTTTTGAGTTCGAGTGTTCGTGAATTTTCCACAAAAAATTGATTTTCTTTTTTTCTTCTCTGTCATACTCTTTATATCTCCTTCACTTTTGAGTGCTTCAAATAATAGATTGTTTGATACTTTCTTAAATTGCTCTAACAATAGCGTTTAAAGAGAAACTTTATCCACTGTTTAGGATGTTAACAAAGTAACTCGCATGAACTCGCATGAACTCGCATGAAATTGTAGTAAGAGAGTTTTTCTTCCAGCCAGAGCGCGAGAGATATAATCCTGTTTTACATACTTACATGAACCCGCGCCGGATACAGACTTTCACGTGACACGTTTATCATACATGTTGAGAAATATTTGTATTAGCACAGTTGGTGCTTCCAAGTCAAATACTAGAAGGTGAATAAAGTTTTGCATCTTCAGTGATAATGGAATTACCTTTCCCTTAATTATTAATGTGAAATGTTGTTGGTGTAACTGTATAATACAGGTACTAATAACTTTTGAATATTTTATTTGAAATGCATGATTCAATTAAATGATCAATATATGTTCTTGTATGTGAACTCTTTATTATTATTAACAAAAAATATACAGTTTTCAAAGAGAAACGTTTCAAGGAAATATTTCAGTAAGTTGCAGTGAACTTGACTGTGAAGCAATTAGGGAGTTTCCGTCCATGATATATGTGTAATAACGATTTCACTCATTCCCCTCTCTTGGTATGTTATGTCTTGTGTGTACCACCTCGTTTCCCTGACAAAGTAAAGCACAGGGAAGTGTTATTATGAAAATGAACAGACAACCTGAGAATGAAAATATAAGCGGCTAAAGTGAGTCACTTGGTCTATTGTGTTTCTTAGCTTGCCATGAAAAGTGCCAGCTCAGTCATATCACAGTTGAACCTTAATTTATAATCATAATTGAGATCGATTCATGAGTATAGAAAGGTAGGGCTCAGATGCACCAAAACATAAGTACTGCTTTTTTTTAAGGGACCCATATTTAAAATGGAATCAGCACGTGTTTGTATATATCTTACATACAAATCAAGTTATTTAATACCTGTGTCATAATGTGAGTTCTTATCAACTCCATCTCTTTCTCCATCTCTTTCTCCATCTCTTTCTCCATCTCTTTCCAACGTCTTGCACTGTGAAAAAGAGAAAATTGACTCACATAGACCTCAATGAATAAGATATTTGAATACTGTCTATTAAAATTCCAGATTTTGGTTCCAATATAATTTTGAGGAAACTCAAATATGAGATGGAGACAGCACTAGGAAAATTCTAAAGTTATCCCAGCAACTATACTGAAACTCTTTTTAGATCACACGGAACGTTTGTTATTAAGATTTCGAAGGGAGGGATTTTCATTGCTTCAATATCTTGAGGGAGGAATGCATCCAAAGGATCAAAATATATTAAAAGTAGGATTAAACCTGCTCATGCTTTGGAATTTTTCTGGTAGTGTTAGAAAGTGTCTTACCTTAAAGTGCCGTAACTGCATGCAGGAGAAGACTGTGACTGTGTAATTGGGGAGACCATGGAGGAAAATTGATATGAATTAGAAATTGACCAAAGAAAGTGTCATCCCCTAAAATGAAGCATCCTTAGTGGAAAATGACACCTACAGGTTGTTGTTTCATCCAATTATATCGAAGTAAAACTTTTGCCAGGGGCTCTCAATTCAAAAGGAGATAATTTCTTGTTTACTTACCCTTGGGAGGTTCCTTTGTCCATCTGGCTGGCCTGCTACAACTCTGGGACTTTGAGTATCACTAAAATGGATTAAAAAATCATAATCGTTAGTTTTGTTGTTGTTTAAACTCTCCTCTTCCTTTTGAATCCGTCTTTGCAAAAACTGAGAAAGTATCAAACAACAACACACTCCAGACGAAAATAAGCACTCTTGAGTGAAATGCTAGGTTTTTCCTTGAAGAAATTTTCAACAAGATTTTTGCAAGCGTTGAAGTTTGTGGAAATTTGGAGGTGAAATAATACCTTGTAAAACACATCGTATCTGGAGTTTTTCATGGAATAAATGTCTTCGTGGGTTACTCCTTTGAACGAGTCCATTGGTTTAAGTGCAGTCTCGATTTTAAAATGTATGTTGCTAAAGGTTATGCGTGCAAACTTCCAGACCATAGTCTTAAACTAATGTAGCGAACGAATTACGAGAACATCTCACCCTGTACATATTATTGTAAGAAAGTATTGCTTTCAACTCTCATAATTTGTTCCAGTGCAAGTGACGCTTTCGAGAGATAAGTGAACTAAAATGGTGAATCTGCCGCTGATTTTCCAAAGTTTTGAACCCAAAACAGACTTTAAAATGGTTTTTGTAGCATTGTTAAAGTTTTCATGTTTGTCAGCCTTTTTTCTGCCATTGATATCCCTCGGGTTACGTTGAAAACGGGTTGCGGAATAGGTGGAATTACAAATCTAGACCTTCGACAAGGTTCGGCGAGGTACAGTAATGTGAGCCTCTCCTAAAATGCTTCGTATTCTATTCTGTAGCGGTCGATTCTACGTTTGTCTTTAGGACGAGTTTCAACCTCAATTTATTGAAACTTAAAGGCTCGAGTTCGGCTTTATTGGAATCGAGAATCGAGTTAGGAAATTGGCAGATGGAACATGCCTCAGAGGAAAGTAATTGATTTGAAACGAGCAGGAACGTGCTGCGTTGATGAATGAGAGCTAGAAGGAAAAATTTCTCGTATGACATACAGTAGCCATGCAGTCCAATAATGTCACTGTCTGATCTTACCTGAATTTGGTAGCCATTTTTGATTTTGAGGCACATCGTCTAAGGCGTTGTTTGCCTGAGTAGCCGCGCCTTTCAGGGCTTGGAGCGAAATTTTAGTTTGAACCTTCCAACGATTTATAGTTCCTTAAAGAACTGAAATTAAACTTTGAATTAAAACGTTGAAAAGTCGAAGCCGCGAGAAAATTTTCGCAGCATTTTGATGTAGCCCCGAATTGTCGTATCAGCCCAATGAAAGTACCGTCGACGCCACGCGCGGTTGACTCTCTTTCCTTGTGGTTTCGTATTAAAAATATTTCAATTAGTTGTCTTTGTTTGGTGACTAGACTTGCCATGACTGTGTTATTCAAAGCGATTGCACTCCATTCGATTCCTCTGACATTCTAAAAATAAAGATAAAGCAGATTCGTTTTTAAGCTTAGGCTGCAATCGCGAGAGAATCTTTCACATTCAGGCAAATGAAAGCGTTACCTTTAGCTTCAGTAAGGTTGTATGTACCATCATGTGCCTCTGGTGGTAAATAGAAGACTTGTTCCAAGCTGTTTTTTGCCATGTAGAACTGTTTTTTAAGTCCCGTGTTGAACTGATGTTATTGATGAACGTTAAGACGCAAAATTTGTGAAATGGAACCGTTAGAGATTAGGAACAGTACTGACGAAACTGCCTTAGTAGCTATTGAAATGGCTTCATGGGGGACGCTGGTTTGAAAATTCATCAGGGCGAATAATATTGTCGCCACCTGTATATTTCAGCAGTAGTTCTACTGTCCCAATAGATTCTAATAAAAACCTCGATCTGATTGGTCGAACACAGTATGACTCAAATATACGCTGTGGCGCGTTTTTCATCACTTGTTAATAAAAATGCAAATACGGTTTTCGTTTACAACAACTTTCCATTGAAATCCTAGGTTGCATCGACTTTTTCATCTCTTTGATTCGTCCATAAAACTCCCACAACCAACTCAATCAATCAGATGTAAGCTACAGGTTATCGCAACTCGGTTGGGCTTCTCTTTAGTTGAGGCCAGAAGACTGAAAAAAAACTCTTCAAAGTAAATTCACAATCAATCACCCGTGCTAATTTCCCTTTCGAGAAAAGCTAATGCAATCTTCGGTAACCATGCCATGCTATGTTATGTTACGTCATTTGTTTGGTAAGAAATACTCGTCACGCAATTTTTTTTAACGGATTCTCAAGCATAAATTTGAATGTTGAAATACATACCGTTGTTTTTTGGCATGGGTGTTTGCCGCTGTCTCAAAATATTGTTGAAGCTAAAATACGGCGGCAAAAAATATTCACCAAAGAGGCTTTCGAAGCGTGCGGCCTTTTGTAGCGATAAATTTGAGGCTTATTTGGCCGAGAAATTGCTAAGTCTTCGCTTTGTTGTGTTATTTGTGATGGGAAAGGGAATACATGAATGTAACACTAACGACCGTAACGAACGCGTAACGACCGCGACCAACACCTTTTGTCTTGAAGTGGCTGTTAAAAGAGAGAGTAATCACGGTTTCGCGCCGCTAAATTGTGACTTTGAAAAAAACAAGGCAGCTGTAGGTATGCTCTATAACGTTGTTCAGTTTTGAGTTTGGTTCAGAAGGCCAAGGTTGAAGATTGAGCTTCATTTCCGTTAACCTTAGTCTTAAATACTGGTTTTTTGATTTTCAATTAATTGCAAAATGCTAGGCCTGCGAACAGTTTAATTATTAACTACAATTTTGAGTTCGAGCATTCGTGAATTTTCCTAAAAAATTAATTTCCCTCTCTTTTGTCTTTGTGATTTTCTCAGTCTCTCCTTCACTTTTGGTTGCTGTAAATAATGGATTGTTTGATACTTTCTAAAATTGCTTTGACAATAGCGTTTAAAGAGAAACTTTATCCACTTTTTGGGATGTTAACTAAGTAACTCGCATGAACTCGCATGAAATTCTATTAAGAAAGTTTTGCTTGCAACGAGATCACGTGATTACGACGATTACGATGATGATCGTCATAATCGTGTCCATCATTCTTATCCTCGACACAGGATCGTCGCCGTGCTCATCTCTAGCGCGTCAGTAGGCGCATTAGGCCTAATGGGTAAATATTCTACCGGACTCAAGTGTCTATTTTCTCAGCGAATAAAGTTCAACGTAAATGGTATTGCGTCATATCAGTGAATAATTAATTGCCTTTCATAGGAGGAGGTTTTAAACACCTACAATAGTTTCATCGCTTCCCAGTCTTTATAGGAGTCAGTGTCATTTGATTGTAGAGTCAAGTCAGGAGAGCTGGTTATTAATTGCCAAACAGACCTACATCTGAATAGGCATAATTCCGCTAGTATTATTTTTAATTTTTCTATTATCTCTATGTTTCCATTGTTACCTGTAAAGATGTAGTCTCGGTACAAGATGATCTCGAAGGTTTGACAAAGATTCAAATTTGATTTCGATGACCCTTATCAAAAGTGATGGCAAGGAATTGTTTGTTTGTCTATCTTGATTTTAGCCACCTGAAACACCTCTGCAGTAGCGTTACAGCAGGGATTAGCAGAGATTGGACCTACACAGCTCGTCGGCAATGAGTGGAAGAACGCGCCCTTGGCGGAGAAGACACTCTTTTATTGATAGTTCATTGAAATACATAACAAAGACGATTCATCTAAATGGCTCATAAAGGAATAGTTAAGTAGGGAAACCGTTCTTTAGTTGCAGCTTAATAACAAGCTCCAACATTTAACCCAGTCAAGAGGAACAAACATCAGTAACAACATGCTGACAGATGAAGAATCTATGGAGACGAGGTTGAAACAATTGGTCATGTAGTGAGCACCTGCAAGGGCTTGCGCCAAAAGATTTCAGGAAACAGCTTGAAAAGGGTGGCTGGACTGGCCATGAGAAATAGTGTCTTACAAGGCTTCTTTATTAACACTGGTTCAGTACCTTCAGGAATCAGATAGGGTGTTGCAGTACTAGTGTGCAAATTTTCGTTGGGAACTTACCACGTAGGGCTGCTTGGGAAGTTAAGTACACTTGACAAGACAAGGCAGATTGATGCGTCGTTAATGATGTTGTGGTACACGAAGATATTAGAATACAGAGAATTACTTAAAAAGCTGCTGACCTCAGGATGGTGATTGAAAACATGCAGAGGAATAAACTGAAGTCATCCCATTTGTTACAGGAATTCTTGGGTAAATTACTTATTTTATCTTGGGGCATTATAAAGTGAAGTGCAGCGTTGGAATTCCTCGAATGTCTGCTCGAAGCTTCAAATGTCTTGCGGAAGGTTCTGTCTACTGCTACTGTTAATGCTACATCTGCTGCAGTCGTTGCAAATGATTCAGATGAACTCTATAACTACTAATAATATCGTTCTTATTGATTTGTGTCTCATTAAAACAGAGCGCACAGCTCCTGTTTAAAGGTTATGGGAGACTAAGAGACTCATAATTCATCATCATCATTATTATCATCATCATCATCATCATGTTGTTATTGTCATCATGATTATTATTCATAATAATCATAATCTTAAGTTGTCCCGATTGGGGAAATCGTTGCTTTCTTTTATTGATCAGTTTTTCGATATTTCAATTAGAATGACGATAAAAATAACTGATTGCATTCACGCACGATGTCCGCGCGATGAAGCCCTTTCAATACCACCACAAATGTCAAACCTAACGTAACTGACCAATAGGTTTAATGAACGTCTTATTCTCAAAATACACTAAACAACGTTATACGGCTTCATTCAGTTAAATTGCAGTCAATAAATCGTTGCCGCAAACAGCCAAAAGGCTCAATCAGTATCAAGTAATCATGCCCTCTTGATTACCAAATGTGCCCTCGTGATTAAGAAAAAATGCCCTCTGTCTCAGCCAATCAGCTTTCAATAAATTTTTCCCACATAGTCAAATGTAGGAAAGAAATCCTTTTAAATTTGATGAAGTAAGAAAGAAATGAACTTTTCGATACTCTTTAATGGGATCGAAGTTAAGACCCAAATTAAATGTTAATTTAATTTAACATTTTCTGAGAACTTTGATTGTGGTGAACAATTTCTTGAATAAGCTTAAGTGAAGTCCAAGGGATTATTCGATCTCGGACCGTTTCGCACATTTAGAGGTCTTCCTGCATTAAGGCTTTAAAAGCTGAGAGGACTGAACCATTCCAAGACACAATCACCAAATTGCCATTTCAGCAAAGATTATTTGGAGTTGTCCTCGCAACAACCCAATTGGTAATAACGACGGTGTATCGATATAGAAAGTGCGGAATACTGCTTTTATAAATTGAACTAAAAAATCTTTCAATTTTCTATGGATTACTAGTGAAACAAACGATAGATTTTAAAGGGAACTGGCGCTATCTTAGTTATTTTAAAAATCTACTTTAAGCTCAAGCTTGAATGTTTCTTTAAGGTGTCTGATGTCTGCAAAATGAAACAAAAGATTGGAAAGCATTAAGATAAGACCATATGTGAAGACGATACTTTTTTTGTTGTAGTTGGATCACCTTCCCCTCCTGCACGATAGTTTAGGAGGAATAATTACTTCCCTCTCTCCTTTCCCAGATGGCCTGCAAGCCGTGGGAAAAGCTTCCCTGTGATTCTGACCACCAACCTATTTCAACATTGTAAGGCTTAAGCCTTTAACTCCCAAGATCTGACTGACAATTCTCCCCTCTGGCTGCTACACATATCCTGTAAACTAGTTATGAGAATTTGGTGTTAGATCAAGATAACAACCTCAAACTGATACGTTCGAAGATTCGTATTCGCTGTGTGCTGGATAATGTAAGGATATTATAGGGAGAACTTTCATGTTCATCACTTCTGGGAGTTAAAGGGTTAATAAGAAACAGCTCAGTGCACTTCATTTAAAAATGGCTGAATTGGCACTTTGATCGAAAATTCCTTTCTATGGTTGATTAATTGGGGTACAAAATTGTTTCTGAATTTCGTTTCTGAACCTTACTCTAGGGATTAGGAGAGGCAGCCAATTATCAAATGTGTTACTTTCTGTTTTCATACCATTGGATATGATCTCTTATTGCTTTGTTTTCCTTCTTGACTTGCAACCATCTTTTTACGTCTCTGAAGAAATCAAAACAGCAAGATAATGAGCAAACATAATGTTTTTACAATAGTTCTGTCCAGTGGTGTTAACGTATTTTTACAGTTTTTTGTTGTTGCAATTTGGTTTGTGAGGTAAGTGAGATTTAAGACTTCAATACATTGATGAAATTACTTACTCAGACCTCTGGCTGGACTGTGCACTATTCTGCATGAAATAAAAATATGTTTTTGTAAGTGGTTAATTCTTCCAGAATCATGGCTCATGCATAAAATGATTTCAATAATCTTTTTCTATGAAATCTTCCAGCAGCGACGTTGTACTTCGAAATGATCCATAGTGCAAAAACCCTAAACTGACCTTATACATCGTGCTTACTTTCACAATTATATCAAAACTGAAAATGGTGTATTAAGATACAGAAGAGTCTTTTCGGTGTTGAATCATTTTTTTATGGACATCACTTACCTGTTGCTCGGAAACATCAATTGGAATTCCATCTAGGTCTGTTACCATGAAAACCCTGAAAAGAAATCAAATTGTCATCATCGACATCTTTCGCGAAATTAGATACAATTGAAAGAAGGAGGTCTTTAACCTCCTTTTTTTCTCAAATAAGGAAACATCAA